GACGTGTGCTCTTCCGATCTCCCCAAAACCCCAAAACCCCATGAATCTGAAATAAATTGGTATGAAGTGTTGCTGTTTTAGTATTAATGTAGAAATTTTAGAATTTTTAACAAACAAAGTCAGATTATAATAATGGAGTCTGTCTAAACAACCATAAGAACAGCAGTTGGAGGCTTGCCTGGCGACTAAACAGACACTTCCTCAAACCACGGCCACAGTCAACAAGACTCTTAATAAAATCAGAATGCTGCTCGTCTTGATGAGATCAAGTCCAAGACTCAGAGGATAACGAGTAGTTTGACTAACACAATGACAGGAGAAGGAGGAGGAGGCGCTGGCTTGGATAAGTTTTTCTCTGAATTAGAGGGGACTGAAGGCAGCCGGATCCACGACACCTAAATGACTAAGAACCGACCCTAGCATGCAAGCAAAGTAGAAACTCAAATAAGTAAGTGACTATCTAATCCGTGGGAATTGATTTATTAATCATTTGTATTTGGAATAGGCAACGTAACTGATCAAGAGAAGGATAGTGTTAAGAAAAAGATCAATAAGCTTTTGATGAACAGTGGAGGTGAGTCTGGAGATAACTTTGGCTGCGAAAGTGGCAAGGGATCCTCGCATCAACAGTACTCTTCATACTCCAATTAAAGAAGTCCTAAAAAAGCTGGGGCTTAAATCCTCAATCAAAGTAGCAGTGGAAGCGATTCCAACTTTTCTGCAGAAGAAAACTCTCCATTTCCATCAAAGAACAAGGGCAGTAAACATTAAACTTAGATAATAAATCCTATCCAAAACAGCAATAGCGATTCAAGTCCCTTGCTTAAGGAAGCCTCTCCAAAAAAAGACAGCGATCGCTATCTCATCCCTCCACCAGAAGATTTGATAGCTAAATCAGTATTTATAATTGAACCTATTCGAACTGGTGCTCCTATTAGTTTTGTGTAAGTAAACTTCTTTTATAATAATGGCTCTTGATCATTGTTGCTTTTTTAAAATAAAAATCTTATTAATTATCTCTTAGGAAAACAGATGTGCTCCGAGGAGATGAACGCAAAACTGAATTAATGGCAGAGTCTAAGCCTAAAACCTCTACTGATCCCGAGCCAGTATCAAAATCATCAAATAAATACATAGCTGACGAGATTGTCAAGGCTGATAAGGATGGACGATTAGTTTATTGCCGATTTGGGAAGCAATACATCACTAATTTGGAAAAGCAGATAAATTCATTGCTAAATAATAATATCGGAGGAGGAGCCTAACTCAGTACAGCAATCAAATCAGCTACCTATTTGATCAACATAAAGAAGCTAATTAAAGAGCATAACATAGACACTGAGTTCAACCAGTTTTAGAAAATGAGAACCAAGTCAAACGTAGTCAACAAACAAGGTGAAAATGGACCAGCATTACCATACTATAATCCATAGGATATAAGCGATGTAACACTGCAGTTTGAATCTAGATTTGAATCAGGCAATCTCCTCTGTGCTATGAAGGTATCGGATAACGAATACGATTTAGTTCTCTAAAATGACATAAATACTAATGGTCACACGTAATGGTATTTCTTTAGAGTGGGGAATACACACTAAGGTATGAAAATCAAATTCAATATTCTGAATTTGGCTAAAACTGATTCACTGTATAATGAAGGAATGAAAATACTTGCTTTTTCAACTAATCAGAAAAAAGATAATAATCTCGGCTGGCATAGAGTAGGCTCTGAAATCTCTTACTTCTAGAATTCTTATAAAAGAGAGAACTTGCGATTTACTCGCTATTACTACACTTTTACCTTCTCCCATGAATTCGAGGGAGGTGATGGAGACTAAGTTTACTTCGCTCACTGTTTCCCTTACACTTACTCTGACCTCTAAGATGACTTGTCTCGCATTGAAAAGGACTCTTACACTTAGAACTTCTTCTACAGAAACACTCTTTGCCGCACTCTAGCTGGGAATAAGTGTGAATATATAACAATCACTAGCAAAGAAAAAGATCCGCTTAAGTCTGGGGGTCAGCCTTCATAGAAGAAAGGTGTATTTTTGAGTGCAAGAGTGCATCCAGGAGAAAGCAATTCGTCTTGGATGATGAAGGGACTGATTGAGTTCCTAGTCAGCAATGCTCCTGAAGCCAGAGTCCTTAGAGAGAAGTTTGTTTTCAAGATTGTACCAATGCTTAACCCTGATGGAGTCATCAATGGCAACTACAGATGCTCTCTATGTGGATCTGATCTGAACAGAAGATGGAAAACCCCTTCAAAAGTGTTGCACCCAGTAGTATTTGCTATTAAACGCATGGTCAAAGCATTTTCTAAAGAACGTGAATGTGCTCTGTACTGTGACTTTCATGGTCATTCCCGTCGCAAAAACATCTTCATGTATGGCAACAACTATCAAGATAAGCCTGATGCCACCAGAGTATTTCCTTACATTCTCTCGAAGCTTTGCGATTTCTTCAGCTTTGAATACTGCAGATTTTCAATGCATAAGTCCAAGGAAGCAACAGCACGTATTGCAATGTGGAAGGAACTAAAGATCCCTAACATTTTCACTATGGAGGCTAGTTTCTCAGGTGCTGATAAAGGAGAATTGAAAGACCAACACTTCACTAGTGAGCATCTTATGCTATCTGGCAGAAGAGTACTAGAAGCTTTGATTGTTTACTGTAAGATTGATGTGCAAGCTACTCTAAATGAATTGACTCTCAAGAGCAAGCATAAAAAGCATCACGAGAAAAATGAAGATGAAGAACTGAAATATGACGGGAACTACCTAACTTTCAATGTAGATAGTCTATAGAAAGAACTGTAAGAAAATAAGGAGTTATTGAAGCTCACAGAGGGAAAGGAAGATGGAGAAGGAGGTGGAAGTTCTGGCTCTGATAGTGATCCTAGTGAGGATAATTTAGAAGAAGAGGAAATGGCTAAGATAGTTCCTATCAAGATCAGAAAGAAGAAGAATGAACTAAAAAAGAAGAGCATTTCAGATGCATGAAACCTAAGGAAGAAAATGTAAGCAATAAATTATCATTAAAGTATTAGTGATGAAGCACCGTCTCATTCACCCACCAAGAATGCGAAGCAGAATTAGTAAAAAGCAGTGACTAGATCACCAGTCAAAAAGATATTGTAAGGACACAAGTTTTAAATACTAGCTAATTTACTTTTAAATATAGTAACTACTCAAATCCACTCTATGATAGGCTGAAATTGCGTCAAGCTAAGAGAATTGAAATGGTGGATGCCTGGACTTAAACCTCAGACAAAGGCTCAGATAATGAAGAAGGCCAGAAACTTCGCAGAGTAGGTTCATAGGCTAATTAAAAGGCTAAGGCTTCTGCACTTCTGAGCACAACTGGCCAATAAAACCTAACTCTTCTAAATCAATAAAGCAATAACAACACAGCAGAGATCAACCCTGCTCCCACCTCTTCAACAAATAGCAACTAAATAAACTCATAAAACTCAGACCCTTATTTGAATCTAAACTAGTCGCAAAAGGTAAGCATGCATGATTCGGGCTCAAGTCCTTAGCCATAGATTCGCATCAGAAAAGAACCCTTTAAGCAGCCCAGTCTACCCACTAGTTTGACTAAATTTGAGGAGAAGCTGTATAACGGAGGCAAAGTTAATGCTAACTTGAACAACAGCATGATCAACAACACAACAGCAGTGCTAGAATTACAAAAGAACAACCAAGGCAGTGAGGAAAGCCAATAAAGTAGCAATAATTCAAGTAGGATGTCAAAGACTCCCTAGGATAAGTTCGGTAAAAGCTATTCAAACAGCACCAGTGGAGGTCATACTTACCAAAACTTGAACTTCATGAGTGGAGGCAGTTTTCCTCAGAATCTTAGCATGAAAATGAGCAAATCTCCTTACAATGTTGCTGATTCCAATAATGAGATTTAAATTAGACAGTTTCAGAGTGCAAGTTACAAAGTGAATGACAGTGCAAATCACAATCGTCACTATAGCTCAGAGAACATAAACTAGCTGGCAATGGGAGGAGTAACTAATTCTAGCAATGCCCTCTCAAGCAGAGGCAACAAAGATTCACAACTTTCTCAATCTAACAATAATGCAAACAATAATAACATGTACAATAACAACAACAACAATAATTCAACAACTGTAACCTCTCCAAAAAATTTGTAGAACAATACAAACACCAGCATCAACTCTAAGATCAGAAACAAGTCTTAAAAGGTTACAGGCCTTGCTAACAATACTAACATCCTCTATAATAATATGAATTCACTCAACCAAGATCAGCCATCCCTGTCTATTCAACAGCAGCAGCTACAGTAACAGCAACTGAGCAACCTGCAACAGCAGTAGAGATTCAGATCGTCTATCTTAACTAAGGACATGCAAGATGTTTCTAGATCGAGTGCTGCTGGCTCGATTGGAGGCGGCAATCAAAACATAATGTCAGTGATGAAGACCAGTGGATTTTCCAATTAAAGACAGAGCATAATACAGAGTTCTCTAGACAAGACTCAGCTCCGCTAAAATCAAAACAGCAATAAAAAGAGACTGCCTGAGATCAACGAAGCAAGCAGGATCAATCAAAAGACCACTCTGGAAATGAGTCAGGCATAAAATGCTGGCTCACACTCCTACACAAATAATACAAATCATTAACAGCATTATCATTCTCACATCATCTAGTAATAACAGCAAGTTGTGATTAGCAATGGGAAGCACAGCTCCTCACACAAGTACTAGAATCCCACTAATAACTCTCACCAATAACTTATCAGAAATCAAAACATATTCTAGATACAATAATCTTTGATTAAGAATTACGGAGGCAACAACACTGATGGCTGGGGCAACGGAGGCACTTAGATTGTCAATCAGAATGCAATGATCACCCATACCTTAGCCAAAAGCATGGACAGAAATACTGCTTCATTTTAGTAAAGAAGCAACTATCAGTCAAACAACTACGTAAGTGGAGGCTTTACCAGTGGTAACAGTCAATCGCTCTCTAGCAATGTCAACAATAACAACAATAATAGTGCCAATATAGTCCTGAATAGTCATGGTGAGTATTAACACAGAGCACTATAGTAACAAATATAACTGTAAAATGTGAAATTGTGAAAAACTACTGATAAAATTAACATTTGAGCTATCTAATCATGCCTAGTCAAGATCCCTATAATAAATTTAGACTTATATATAGATAAATTCAGTCGAATTCATTTAATTTTTCCAAATTTATATTTAGGGGTTTTGGGGTTTTGGGGTTTTGGGGTTTTGGGG